CGATCTTAGGGTCAAAATTTAGCTTTCAATTCCTTCTTCTAAAATTGGCTTAGTGAGTAGCGAAATTTAAAATCCATTCAAAAGAAACTAGTCATAAAGTCATGGTGACGTAGAATTAATATTAAAATCAGTGTTTATTGTAGTACATATTATCTCCATGTCATTTTGTGTAAATATAAAGTGCCAGATTCCGATGTACCTATCGCCATTGTGGTTGTTGTCCAGAACTCTCGTAATAAAGAGCAGTATCAGCAAGCCCAAAGCACAGTAGAATGTTATGCAGTACATCACAAATATCAATTTCATTACGTGAACGTTGAAGAAAATGGTGATCTGTCCAATTCTTGTCCACAGAAGGACGTAAGTTTCTTTTGCGCTTTCTGACCTTCTTTATAATGTTGTTTTTCCGTTCAGTTTATGTTTCAACGTCATTGTGTAGTCGCTCGGTTGCTCAGTTCGTGGCGCGAGAAATGGCTACTTTTCCTTGACGCTGATATGGCCGTTATCAATCCTAATCATCTAATAGAAGAATACATTCCCACCGATCCTAATATCTACATAGTATTTTATAATAGAATATTCAATCACGAAGTTATGGCCGGATCCTATTTACTTAGGTATGATTTGCTTGTACATCTTATCTCAGGGGGTCTTGATAGGGTGTCTTCTTCACCATTATGCAGATCTTAAATACTTCAAGAAACATATCGAAAGGAGGTGATCTAGACTTATCTCCTATAATTACTTTCGCTCTTACTCAGTCTGCATAAACGAATTTTCAGCCCTTATATCCATGCCCTTACCGTTGCTGCGAATAATCGTCAATTTGGGCGTATTTCCTTTCTTCAAATGTTTATCTTCCAGAAATTCTGAGGTCTCTTATAAATTTTTGACTCACTGGAGCAATTATGAATTTAAACTTCCCAGAAGTTTCCATGGATCGGATAATGGAGCTATTCATGTGAGTGATGAGAAGTTACTGACACTGCACTTGAAGTTTGATCTCAACTGCTTTCAGAGTGTCATTGTTTCATTTGAACTTCCTGAAATGAACAGTTCTCGCAAAAAGTGCGAGAAAATATGGGCCATTTCTAGGTAATGTGTAGGCTCTACGATTCTTTTTAGAAATACTACTTCTCAAATAAGATTTTTAGAGATTATGATTCCCTCTCAGTCTATGAAGTATGCATGCAGTTAATCCTGAAAGCAAATAAATTGAATCATATACTAATATTAGATAAGGTAATTCATCGTTGGCAGTATTGCATACATTAACGCCAGCAAATGAAAACCAATCGCGAATTAATTGTGATGTTTATCATTTTGAGGGATCTGGTTCGTGGGCTCGAGATGGGTGGCTCACCAATTCTGCATGGTCCGAAAACGACTTTATATTGCACGGATGGCAAAAGAGGTATTGCACTATTTCGTATAAAGCGCGTGCGAGAAATGTTTATGAACAAGATCCAAAAGTCTGCTTTTGAGATAACTGCGGATGTTGTCAACTGTTAAAATGATCCTTCACAGCTGTTCATCCTATTTTTGCTTTTATACCAATAGTGAAGCGCTGGATGAAGTCGCCGTAGCATGTACCTCGCTAGGAAAAATCATTTCAAATAGTCGTACAAAGATTTGAAGATGACAGATTTTCCTAAATCTTCTGATGGTAAATTGCAAATGCATTTTTTTCACGATTGCATTTTATTGCGAAGTTCGGTGCATAGAAGTTCCACTTTTCTGGGGCCTCAAGTTGATGTGAATTTGCTTTAAAAATAGCTTAGAGCAATTATCATATTGCAAGTGTGATCTAACGTTTATAATTTCAAGGCTGATTCAAGTTGTGGAATGGGCGCACGTCAGTATGAATGCTAGCTGCGTTAAGTACAGCCTAGGCGAGTGCGTCTTCTACGGAATCTACAGTCTTAATCGCTGTCTTAAAAATTTGTAGAGGGCGCGTAATCCTCCGAAGGTGTGCTGCCATTGCCTTCGCAGTAAGGATATTCCAACCACATGGTGTTTCCAGTGCCTCGCTTATCTTATTGTTTAAGAAAGCTATGTACAGTTATCACACACTATAGTGATGACGTTGCTTGACTGTGGCAGCCGACTATGGTAATTTTTCCAAAACCCAAGAGT